TATATTTTTTTAATGACTTATCATAATCTGTCCAAGTACAATGTGAGAAATAGTTTAAATTTGTGTGGCACAGAGACAGAAGTAAAAAAAAAACCTCGCCTGGTCGTAGCCTCTCTTTTTACGCAGTCAGTGTGACATGGGAAAAATTAAAAAGTCGTATATAATCAGTGTGTTCAGATCGTAAGTTAGGATTTAGGGAAACTCCCCTGGCTGTGATCATGAAGGAGCCCAACTAAAAGGCTAATCTCCTGATTCTGGACTCAGTTTGAAGGAAACGTTTCCTGAACAACTGAACGACCTAAATACATAATCAACAAACCAGTGAAACATCTACATCACGCAGGATAAAGGCTCTACAGGCTGCAGCAGACAACTACTGCTCCTTCTTTAGAAAGTTTATTGAGATGTTAGGAACAAGCTGCTAAATGAGCTTCCTAAGGACGCTGGACTCTCCTTATAGAGGTGGAGCAGCTTCTAGAGTCTAAGCAGACATAAAGCATCTTTCTCTATCTCAGGGTTCTACAGCCTGTGGCTCTTTAGACATTCAACAATGACTCTTCATCTCTTTAGCTAAAAAGCAATGAAGAACCAGCTTTGGAAAAATAGATCATCAGCACATTGTAAATGTATTTATTCTCTTTTTGCAAGTATTTTCCTTCATTTTAAAGCGTAACATTTAAAATGACACGGTGAGTATTTTAAAAATCTTTAGGAGAGCTTTTTTTTTTAAAAAACATACATGGTCTCTAAAAAATATCTTGTCATGTTAACGGCATAAACACTTTATTATAATAAATAATAATAATAATTATAATTGAACTTTATTGATCTCACATTGCAGAAATTTACCCCTGCATTTAACCCATCCCCTTGGGGAACAGTGGGCTGCCATTATGAGGCGCCCGGGGAGCAGTGTGGGGTTAAGGGTCTTGCTCAGAGACCCAAAGTTGCAGTCTGTGGGAGTGGGGGATCAAACTCAGAACCTCAGGGTTCCAAGCTCTATGCCATGACCACTAGGCCGCCACTCGACATTAACTACTGAATATAAAAATGGTTCTATTGATTGTAAAGGTTGCAGACCCCCTGATCTATCCCTACTGCTTCTGTTCGCTCAGCGGATGTTGAAGTAACATTGATACATCAGTAGGTGGCGGTACCCACAAAGTTAGGAAGCAGTTTAGCTGGAGAAGCACAGGCGTAACTTTCTGAAGGACTGTTTTGGATATGCCCCCACCAACTTTGGCCTGATGGGGACATTCCC